ATGTGTTTACTTGATATACTTAATAACCACTTGAACTGTCTAAATGGTAAATGGGTCAATTGAGGTGTTTGTTTGATCGTTAATGATAACTTAAAGAGGTTGTTTATGTATGTTTTGTCAGCCTAGAGTTTAGAAAAAATTAAGGCTTCTGAAACATGTGATATGAATATATATATTAATATTTATTTAGCTATAAAATCTTATTATTAAAAATAAAATAAAAAATTTATATTAAAACATTTTTAAATTTAGGAAAAAATCATTTTTCTCGGAACAAATTAAAAAGATAAGACCACATAAAGCGAAGTAGCTAGAGTAAATGATAAATTATAGTTATTCAGAAATAATTTAAATTTGTCAAAGTTATCTGGAAGTAGAAGAAAATGATGACACTATTTTGCTTTGAACTTTTTTATTTAGTAATTTCCGTATCTCGCTATCATCTGGTATAGCTAATCGCAAATGTCCAAAACTCAAAGCGCAAATTAGCAAATCACTTTTGCAATCTTCTAGTTGGCCAAGTCCTCAACTTATCAAACAGCCATCACATCAAATGAGGATATCGATAGTGCCACGCCAACCCCATCAATATCTGCTTTGTGGGGGCTATATTTAAAGCGTACAGTAGAATAATGTACTCTCTCCGTTTATCCTCAAGTGATATTTAACTTTACACGAAAGAAGAAAGAAAGAGTAAGAAAAACTGAAACGAAATTTAAAATAATAATTCATATATTCTAACGAGGGTGGCATGTGAGTCGGGCTCGGGCCTAAGTGGTTCCGGACTTTACGGACTTTTTGTTGGAACTGGTCCGAGATCACGAACTAAGGGTCCCGGGTTAAGTGGGCCGGTCCCGGGCCTAAGTGGGCCCAATGGATACTTTCTATTTTTTAAAATTTTTTTATAAAAGTTAGAGAAAAAAAATGATAATAACAATATCTAAGGCAATTTCTCGTAAATTATATTATAGAATTGTGACCTAAATTTTTTTAATTCAAATTTAAAGACAAAAATATTTTAAAGAGATATTCAAAGCAATGCGTTATAATTTTATTATAACATTAAAAAAATATGGCAATATCTTTCTTAGTCTTCCTCCCCCCTATGGAATGAGCACAACAAGGTGCTAATACCACCATTGACAAGAAAAAGAAACTAATCAAGATGTGTCAAAATACAAGTTACATATTAATTTTTGTTCATATAAGTTACATGGTATCTCTTACAAATTTCATAAATCCTTCAAGGTCCGGAGGAATTTTCGTTGGTGGTGGCGAAAAAGAAGCTTGGTCATCACCGCTTCCGGGCGAAGCAGTTTCCTCCGCAAGTTCAGCTAGTATTTCTTCGTAAGCTTCGTCTACCTCCGGTTGTGATTCAGCAAGTCCAAAATTTTTTCTTTCCGAACGGATCCAATCTCTGAATNTTCCAAGCTCTCCCTCATAGATGCTCTATAATCACCGAGTTGAAATCTTGCTTGACTGAAAGCGCTCTCTGATGCCACTGTTGAAGCTTGAATAGTTAAAATATCTCGGGCCATCCTTGAAAGAATCGGAAAGTATTTTTCTTTGTCCTTCCACCATTCCAAAATATTAAAAGAGCCGTCGGGATTCACTTCCTCAATTCTCTGTGACAAATAAACTTCAAACTCATTTAGTTGTGAAAAATCACTAGTACTAGAACCTTGAGAACCCCTGAACCCTACCCAAGTACTAAGTACTCTTACTCCTGCAGTTCTTTTAGATGATTGAGAACTAGAAGAAGAAAGAGTTGGAACATTTGTTCTAGCATGATCTAATGCAACTTGATAAACATTATAAATAGTTAGAACATTTATTTTAATTGAGGCTATTGCGTCCAGAAGTTTAGACAACTCCTCATTTTCAAGTGCTAAACCATTATAAACAGTTTCATACCAAAATTAAGGATCTCTTAACTTCATAGTAGGATTTAACAATGCAGCAACACTATAAATAGGGGAAATAGGAAAAAAATATTTTTTAAACTTTTTTCTCATAGAATCAATAGCAAGTTGATAAATTTCCCCACTCTCTGAAAAATGATCAAACAAATTTGCAAGTTCTGCAATATAAACTAAACAATTAGAAATAGTAGGATAATATTGCCCAAAAAATTCATTTGTAGCAATATGAAATTTTTCTAAAAAATCTACAAGCATTTAACATTAGCCCAATCCGCATTTGTAAGGTGCTCATCATCATCACTTACATGAGCATTAAACGTTGAGTTTATGGGGTTTCTATATTCATATGCAATAACTAAACTTTCATACATGTAATTTCATCTAGTTGGACAAGGTTTAGAAATCTTTCTTTCTCTTAGGCCAAATTCATCGCATCTTCTAAAATATTCTCTAAGTCTACTTCTACGGTTTGAATAAAAAAGCCAATTAAGAGTCATTTTAACCTTTTCAATTTCAACATTTAAAATTCGCATACCATCACCCATAATTAAATGATAAATATGACAAATACATCTAACATGAAAAATGTTACTAAATGCAAGACTTAGAGTAGTGGTAAGCAAGGCTACAACATTTGTGTTACTAGTAGCATTATCCATTGAAACTAACATTATTTTATCACTAATATAAAAATATCTACAAATATCCGTAACCGTGCTAGAAATAAACTGCCGACGTGAATTAATTATTCTATAAGCAATAATGCGCTTTTGCATTATCCAATCCTCATCAATCCAATGACTGGTAACAGTAAGGTAATCACAGTCATTACCACTTCTACCAATATCAGTTGTAATAGCAATACGATAATTTATATGAGTAAATAAATAGCGCAAATATTGTTCATATTAATATTTATATTTATAAATATCGCGCTTTACGGTTGTGCGAGGAAAACCTTTATAAGTAGGATGATAAACTTTTCTAATATAATGCACAAAGTGAGGGTTATAAGAAAAACTATAGGGTAAGCACATAACAATAACCATTTTTACCAATTCTTCCCGATCTTTTTTTGGATCATAATATAAAATACCACCGGCAACAGTGTTAATTCCCGGTTGAAATTGATTTGACCCGGTACTAAGGTCAGCCTGACTAGGTGCACTTGTCCCCTCGGCCAACGCTTTCATACGAAAATATCTAGCTTTATCTTGAGGGTGTAGTAATATGTGTCTAGTCAAACTTCCCTCCCCCCGTCTTTCAACATATTTAAAAACTAACTCTTTGCTACATATTTTACACTTAGCCCTATTTTTTTTTTTATCTTAGTTGAGTAAAAAAGGCCAAACAACAGATGTTTCTGCCCGTTTAGAAGGTTGTCTAGAAAAAGTATGGACAGTAACAGGAGAGTCAAACGGGGCATCATTTGAATTATTATTAGTTGGGTTAACTTCAGGAGCATGACTAGTGGGTGTATCGTCATCCGGGTGCGTTTCATCAAAATCTATTTCTTCATTATCATTTTCATCAATAGTTGGATTACCATAGAGAGCATTCATATATTCATGGTTTAATTGTTCACCGGGTGTAATATTATAGCAAAATTGACTCTCGGTAAATTGTAATAAACTATTATCGCTATCAAGAATAGGAGGTGTAGGACGGATAACAGGTTTGGGTCGGGGAGCCGGGGAAAGTGGAGGAGGAACAAATTGGCCACTAGATTCACCACTCTTGGATTTTTTCTTATTTTTACTAAACATTTTTTTAAGGAATAAGCCATCTTAATTAATCAAGCAATACAAAGTAAATAAAATAAACAAAACTATAATATTAAAACTTAAGAGTTGGAACGAGTTCGAATTGACGAACAACTTGTTAAAAATTAATTATCGTTGAAAACTTGAAAACTTCAATTCACCAACTTCACAATTTTGTACAAATTATAACAATAAAGTAAGCAATTATAGAAGAAAATTAGAGAGAAATTGAGAGAGATTGATGATTTTGTGAGAAAAATAAAAGAATGATGGGGTATTTATAGTTGAAAATAGGGAAAAAATATAATTATAAAAAGTTTGGGGTTAAAATAAAGTTGGGGAGAGGGTTAAATGGCTATTTTATAAATAGCCAACGGCTATTTTGGCAGGTAAAACAGCCATATTTTAAATGCCATAACGGCTATAATGTGGCAGATTTTTTTTAAAAAAAATTTAGCCGTTGGGCCTGGATAGGCCCGTTTAGGACCGTTTGAACTGGCCCACTTACCAGCCGGTCCCGGTCTCGCGGGCCTCGCTTATGGGACCGGCCCACTACCCAGCCCACCTCCCCACGATTTCGGTCCTATCCGGTTAGGACCGTTTAGGCCCACTGCCCATTTGGGCTTGCGGTCCTGGACCGGACCCGTTCCTAACCGGCCCACATGCCACACTTATATTCTAACATTTATAGATACAAATATAATTAACTTTCTAAATTAATAAAATTATTAACAATATTAATAGGAACAATTCACCATGTATTTTTGAGAAGTAACCACATAAAACTAGAGCATCCTCTTAAATTGAAACTGCACATGCTACAATGTATATATGGTATCAACAATAATATTGGGACCATTGGATAGACATATCAAAATTCCTAAGGTTCTCCAAAATTGGGCTATTAGTACGTGAGGCTTTAGTTAGAAGATGAATGTATATATGGTATCAACAATAATATTGGGACCATTGGATAGACATATCAAAATTCCTAAGGTTCTCCAAAATTGGGCTATTAGTACGTGAAGCTTTAGTTAGAAGATGAATGTATATATGGTATCAACAATAATATTGGGACCATTGGATTGACATATCAAAATTCCTAAGGTTCTCAAAAATTGGGCTATTAGCACGCGAAGCTTTAGTTAGAAGATGTCGACACAAATGTGCGTTTTCCGCATACCTAATGTGGATAATATCGCTCTTACCATATTTATCCTTTTCATGGTCACAAAAGGACAATTTTCATCAAATTGCTAATAAACAAAACTATTTTATCATAAAACTATTGATTAGTAATTTCCACATGTCGCTATCATCTTGTACGGGTTGCCGCGGGAAAGAGTAAACGGCCGTTAACGGCGACAGCGCTAAACCCAACGGACCGGCACTTAGCGACGTTAGTCTGCTTCGACGGCGACAACAACGCCGATGAGTTTGCCGACGGGAGAACGTTGGTTGTCCGTTTGTAAGCACCTAACCACTTATTCTGCATGAACCGGTGTTTTCTCCACGGAGGAATACTGAGGTCTTTGCTTTTCAGCGAACGCCTACCGGCGTCGCTCATTACCTTCAACATCTTCTTTAACTCTTCGCTTTTACCTACGAAAACCCTCGGCAACGATTGCGATAAACGCTCGTAGTGATTCGTAGGCCTTGCTATCTCGAACTCCGCCGCAAAATCGAGGTCGATAAAGTAACGAGTGATCCGGTTACCGGAATCCGATCGGATCACATCAAGGAACTCGTAGTTTCCGGCCTTAAGTCCACCGGAACTCTCCCATTTCGTCTTGCATATAGCGGCATTATAACCAAAATCCCTAAGATAGGTCATTACATTTCGCCTCAGGATTGGCTTATTCGATTTCGAAAAGGAAAACATTTCCAGTGCCTTAGTAATCTTAGTCGCCAGCGAATTACGAAACAAATCCAGATCGCTATAAAACACTGGCTTTGGCAAATCTTCAATCACGTCCGTCGACTCGTACATTGACACATCTCCGTCGTCGGAGTCTGAATCATTCTCCGACGACATATTTTCGGCCGCCACATCATCAGGCAAACCAAATATGAGAGTAGAAAAGCTACAGGAAGCATCATCATCGGCGTGGGCGCTGTGTTCGCTTCCGCTGCTGAGGTAACCGAGTTCCTGCTGGTCACGCCCAATGATCCGAGCCTTCACTTTGTCGTCAAGCGGGTCAGTTACTCTCTTCATTCTACCATAAGCTTGCATTTTTTTCTTCAAAATTTCTAAGTGCAAAAAACTTTATTTAGAGAGAGAATCTGTATTTTGAGAGAGATGATGGAGGTTTGGTTTATAAAGGGTTGTGAAAGAACTAGAAGGTGCGAATATTATTAGGTTTGGAGAAATAATAATAAAAGGTATAATACCGAGGAACTAAAAAGCGAATATTCGAATGGTAGCAGAGAAAAAGAATGTGAGTTATTTTTTAACTAGTTAAAAAGCAAAAAGATTGGACTGCCCCTTTAGCTTTTCATGTGTTTTTAAAGGGACTGAGTCCTGGGGGCGTATCGCAGAAGACAGTGAGGGCATATCCAAGAGCACCACAAGATTATTCTTTGTCGCATATGGCTAGTTATGCGTACTGGTGTGATTGCGCCACGTAATTTACGAGTGTGTGAAGAATACTTTAGCACGAGAATGGAACGTGGAAGTAAAATTAATTGGAAGGCTCATCGTATGTTTGGTTTGGTTTAGAGCCTGTTTGGATATATGGTTTTTTTTATTTTTTTTCGAAATCTGTGTTTGGTTATAAAATTTTTAATTTTCACTTGAGCATGAATTTTGAAAATTTTTAAAAATTTAAAAAATTCAAAAAAGTTATTTTTTAAAATTTTCGCTCAAATCACTCATAAAAATTCAAAAATAATCTAAAATTATATATATATCCAAACACATCTCTAATTTTTAAAATTTTAAAATTTTACAATTCTTATGTCCAAACGCCCACTTAGTGTGTGTGTGTGAGAGTTGGGATGTTGCCTCTTCGAAATTCGAAAGGTCCAGACATAGAAAGAAAGAGTTTGGTAAGATTAAAGAACGATCAAATGCTTGGATTTGGATTTGGGGAATGGATACTTTTGGATTGATATTGAAAACGTGTACTCTTTTAGAGGACTGACAGATCAGATTGAACCAGAATATTGGAGAAGGGCAATGGTTGGATTTGTTATTATGACTTGGGTTTCAAGAAAATATGGTTTGCTTTAGGCCTTAATGGGTGCAAAATTATTGCATTTCTTTTTCTGTTTCTAAGGGAAGCATCAGTTACAAACTGTACTGAATCCAGTTTTTGCTTGAATTTCGAGACAAAACTTGGCACCCAAGATTGTTCAGCTGCTACAGAAGTATTTGCTGCAGAGTCAAATATGCTCATGTAGAACTCACTGTATAGCAATCTTTCGTTATATTTTCGAACCACTTCCTTTGGCTTTGAGATAATAACAATAAGAATAGGAAAACTTACTCTAATAAATAGTGTATTAGTTTTGTTACTATGATTTTGATTGAATTTTAAAATAGCTTATCCTCCTAATATTGCGTTTTAGTATTATAGCATGTTGTCAAACAACTTTACAATAATAATCACGAGTTCTTGTTATGCGATTTGTTTTTCCTAATCAATGAGATATATAACAGACATAATAAGAGTATATTATTGTATGAGATCGTACTTGTAAGTGGTTCATCCTTAGAAATGACAAAAATGGCTTCTTATGTTTGAGGTACGATTAAGTAGTTTCTTAAATATACTCCTAGGCAGTTTTGTCCATTTAAGTTTTTTAAAACTGAATACTTTTTATTTTTGTTAAATACTTAACAAACTTTAGTTGTTACACTTAACAAGAATTGTGAAGAAAAAATTTAACAGAAACCCAAATCTAAGCTGTAATGTTTGCAGTTTTGTATTTTTGATTTATTTCTAGTATTCGGTGCAGTTCTTTGACGTACAATTTCTGTTATTTTTTGTCGATTTCTAATATCTAAGTATCTAGCATAGTGTTTGTTGCAGATTCTAGGATTTGACAAGACTTCTTTGATATTTTAAATAACGTATTACAGTTCTTATTAATTAAACAGTCAAAATTTATTAAAATTTTACGAACAAAAGTGCTCATGACTTTTGATGATTTAAAGATGAAAATTGCTCAAGATATATTTAAATCATCGTCAAACATAAGGGATTATTTTTGTTATTTTCTTTGCTTTTTTTTTTAGTTGATGTATTTGAGCACTTTCTCGATTCTGTCAATAGCAATTGTCTAATGGCTTTTTCATGTTCATGCACTGTCACGACTCAAAACTCTAATCGAAGTCGTAGCGGCACCTAACATTACTCGCTAGTTAAGTCAACAATCAAATAACATCAATAACTCAAATAACATAATTAAATAATCCTAACAACGGAATAATCATAATTAACCGAAGCCAAAAGCAATATTACAACTAAAAACCATCCACGATCTAGCATAAGTAAGTGCATACGCGCTACAGAATCCTAAATAGTTTGATCCAAAATACATAATTGTCTGAAAAAATAGAACAATAATAACATAAACAAAGGAAAAAGGGACTTCAAGGCATGTGAATGGAATCAGCAACTATCTCGAAATCTCCAAGATCTGATACTGGTGCCTCTCGCTAGTAATCACCTCTCTCGGCAATAGTTTGATCTGCACATATAGTGTAAAGTGTGGTATGTACTAAATAAGTAAGAAGTCTAACCTCAGGTTGAAAGAAGTGAGAGCTTGGCAAAGTCCAGTACCCATTTTCAATAACCAATTATAATAATAACAGAGTAATAACAATAAGAAAAGTAGCTCAAGCAAAGCAAATTTAAACTTTTCACAAATAGAAGGAAAATAGGCATGCATTTCAAGAACAACAATTAAGGGTGTGCTTGGTATGAAGAAAAATATTTTCTAAAGCATTTAAGCCAACCAAATATGAGAAAATTGGAAAAATAATTCCCAAAAATATTTTTCTTCACACCAAATACACCATAAGCCATAAATTCTTTCACATATATAGCCTAAACATGATTTTATCAATTTAAAGGTGAATTTCAAGTTCAACACATCAACCATAGACATCAAGTACCAATAATCATGAAGGAGGAAAAACATAACCCGGTACCTGCATGACAAGTATACATACTAGAATCAACTATACCACAATTAAATCCTCAAGTATACCAAATATCAGCACGAATATAGTGCCCGACACAATTGTCCTTCATTCAACTCACACATCAACACTCAGCACTATACGAGTACCTGACAAAAGTCCTCACCAAGCACATATATGACCCATGTGACTATGCACATGGTTATTACCTGACTCTGGAAGGGCGGGTCCTTGCCCAATTGCTGATTAGATCTAAGTCAATAATCAATATCACTTAGCCCAATATGGGGCCTGGTGCATGCGTTACCTTATAGTCGATACCAAATCGACTCTACGGCCCAAGCTCTGTCAACAACCACTTAAGTCACAAATACTTACATTTCATAATACTCTACTCAAACAGTGTCACACATATAAGGGCATCAACAGCAAGTGAGATAACATATAAAGAATGCATAGAGACAAAGATATAATACGTGGATGTAATATCATGACTGAGAATATGACTACAATCAACACTACTAAAAATAGTGTAGATTCCGACCGATTTAATGCAGTCACAATTTCCGACCGATTCGATCGAAAATGTTATTAAAAATACATGTTAATATTTTTAAAAACTTTTGGCTCCAAATTGCGACTCTTTCTGTCATTCAATTATGCGGAAAATACCGCGAATATAGTTTTTAGGGTTTCCGATCGAATCGGTCGCAGAAATTAAAAAAAATATAAATATTTCGATCGATTTGGTCCAAAATTTGCAACAAAAACGAGGTCTGACTGGTCAACGAATTTGCGACCGAATAGATCGCTATTTGAAAATTTTAAATTTTAAATTGCGACCGATTCGGTCGCAAATCTATTTTTATACAGCCATCCACCCAATTTTTCTTCTTTCTTCTTTCTTCTCTAATTTTTTTCCTTCTCCTCCCTTCTCATCTTTTGCCCCCACCCGCTCTATTTCTTCTGTATACAAGGTAATTAAAACAAATTTCCTCTCTCTCACTCTCCCTCTCCTTCTCCCGCTCTCTTTCCCCCGTCCAGCCGACTGATCCACGTCCAATCCGCACTCAATAGTGAGTGAAAACGGTCGTTGGAAGAATAGTACCCAACAAGAGTCGGAGTCGATTTCCACAGGAAGTTTCTATGGGTGTTAGGAGTATACACCTGACGAGAGCGAATGGAGTAACTAAATTATGCTTCCAACAAAAGGTTTTGATTTCTAATTTTAATTTTACTCTTGCTATTACAAGCCAAGAAAAGAAACTAAAAGCGAATGATTATTTTTGGTATTTTTCTAAATATTTAAAAAGCCTAGGGATGTGACCATAACTTAGATGTTCACGTAATGGGTTAAATACATTAACATTTATTTTATTGATTGGGGTGTATTATAGCTCTCAACTCTATATTACCCACTCAATACCTCTCGGTCAAAGAGTAATTTTGCCCAATTTGACTTTCTCAAGCCCAAATGGATATCAAACTAAATAGTTCATATGAGCTCAAGTTGGGTTCTCACTATCTCTAGTTTGAACCCTTTAATTAGACTAATCAAATCCTGAATTAGCCCAATTCCTTGTTAGTCAAGTTATCCTAGACTAGGTCCCTCTTTCTCAAGTAGAGACCAAGTCAAAAAGGCATGAATTAATATTTGCAACCATTAATTCTAAAATTGAAGCATAAACTAAGTTAAATAATCAACACCCAATTATAAACAAACATTAAATTAAATACCCATAAGGTTTACACACTAGGGTTAGGTCACAACCTTAGTAAGAATCTAGCTACTCATATTGAGAAATGAAGAAAACAAAGAAGAAATGCTAATTAAACTCATAATCTAAGATTAAAATAATAAAATATGATGTTTAAGACCTAAAATAATCGCAAACTTCCTAAAATGGAAAAATGTAACAGTTACAACAGCTCAAACTTTGAAACTTGACCTAAAATTATGAAACTCGTCTATTTATAGTGGCCCAAAATTCGCTGACAAAAATGCCCTTCGGGAGGTTTTGTGGCTGCACAATTCCATGTGCGGTCCGTAGATTTCTTCAGCTAGCAGGTATTGAATTCTGCAG